TAGATTTGGTTGAGTTTTCTTGTCAGATTTATAAACTCCTTCTAAACAGACTTACTTTCTTCATCAGCTTTCAAATATTCTCCCTCTCGATCGTTTTGAAGGACTATTTTTCTTCCATCTTTTAACATGTAGAGGTTAGATTTTTTTCTTACTGTTCTTTGCAAAATGGCTCAATCCAAATAATATTTTAGATTAGAGTGTTACAACTGCCAGCTGGGAATTTCCTAATATCACGTTTTAAAGTTTGCATATTAACCAAAAAATACCTACAAAAACACAACATTTAAATTTTCACAACTATATCATACATTTAAAGAGAGCTAATACAGATTTCATGGTCTATTAAGAATTCATTTTTATTTTTTATGTTGAAGAGTTTGTCTCTGTGAGTCTTCTATGTAATTAAAGAAAAAGATCAACTGCTCAACATATTTAATGCATATATTACATATAACTAGAAATCAATTTAAATAATACCTATGCATCAATACGTGCACAGCTCAGTGATTTATTTGAAAAATATACATGTAGGTTCATCGTGATTAGTATAAATTAACCCTGAAGTGGTTTAGGTGTCAGTTTTTGGCCACCCCGCCCAGTGCACATTGGTCCCTGCCTGGCCATTTCCTGGATCCAACAACAGTTAACCAGTATTCCTTTTGGATTGCTCTTCATGTGGCTCAGTCCATTCTAATACATACTATGACTAATTCTCCTGCATCTTTCTTAACAAAAACGAGATGATGCTTGCAACAGGTTTCTTGATGGGTATGGTGTGTTCTAGTTGATTTGCTTTATTAGCTTTCTGTCATGTGTAGCATTCTTCTTGAGGGCCTTATATTTCCATTTAAACCAACTCACCTTCTGTTACATGTCTGTTCACTAATATACCTCATTCATAGAACTGCTGGATTATTACTCAGGTCAAATACACACAGACATCAGAGTAAAGAGGGCACAATACTGGCTGGTCGGTCCTGTAGAATCCCAATTAAATGCAAATGCACTGCAAAAAATCTAAATCTTGATAAGTAATTTTTTTCTTAAAATAAGTGCATTTGTTCTTGAATTGAGGAGATAAAAGAGACATCTTGCCCATGGAACAAGACAATTTAGATTTAAGATAAGAAAAGACAATGGCATTCTCTTATTTCAAGTGAATATTATCTAATTATCTTATTTTAAGAGTAAAAATACTGATTTCATTGGCAAACTATCTAATTTACCTACTCAAATCAAGTTTAAATACACTTAATTTAAGAATTTTCTTATTTCTAGATAATTTTTCCAGTGTGAAAGGTTTGTGGTTGTTTGAACAAAATGTAAAAAAGTTCAAAGGGATATGAACACTTCTGTAGGAACATTACACCAAGAAAGACCTCTACTCTAAAATGGAAGTAACTGTTTTAGATGTAGTTGTTTGCATGTGTAATATCTTTGAATGTGGTGGTGGTCTTCTGTAGTAGTGTTGAATCCTCCTCTTTGTTTGCTTTTCCTCTTTCATTTCCTCCTGTGTGACTCGATCAATAATGGCAGCTCTGGAGAATGAAGTGCTGCGTAACCCGAAGCCCTCTCTTGTTGATCGCTCTGTTCTGGAGCTCAGCGCTGACAAGCTGGTTCCACCTGACATCTATATGGATGGATCTGTGCTGAGGCCCAGGGCGAGTTACCATGATGTTTGTGAAGCAGGTGGGCCATCCAGAGGACACAGGTCTCCTTGGAACGATTCTCCAGACTCCGACTTTGAGCTTGTAGCAGAAGCAAAGGCTCGAGTCCTGGAACTGCAGAAGGAAGCTGAAAGCTTAGAGGAAGCTTACAGGAAATACCAGCAGAGGGCAGTACACACCATTCTCTCTCCCAGGCCTCTCTCCCCACAGCAAGCCTATTCTTCACTCTACCCCAGCTCCCTGTTTAGGAAAAAAGACTACCAGGATTCACACAACTATTCAAGCCACAAACCTAAGACGTTACTCAACCAACTCACTCCTCATTATGTTCAACCCAAAGCTATGGCATCTAATGAAACCAGAAACATCCTGCCACCAGTCCATGAACAGCCTCAAGCCTTATTTGTCTCTGACCACAGTCCAAACTCTTTATCTGAGCCTGTGTCTCTTAAAGAGGGACAAAGTCAAAAGAAACAGTCGGTTTCAGCCAAACGGAGCCCACAATCCTCCTCCAGAGGGAGACTTCACAAGGAACATTCAGAAGGTAGCTTTATAAAATGCTTAAGTTTAAAATTTTCTCTGAAATATGTCTCCTTGTTTCAGTTTAAAAGACTTTGTTCCTCCTCAGAACCAGCTGTCTCTCTGATGCCGTTCTCCCAGACACCACTGTCTGACAAACCCACACTGTTCCGTGCCTCTGTCACAACTCCAGGTGACTCTTCTGAGCTCAGTCCGCCTCACAGCCCCCAACACAGGAGCACAGCACGGGACCAATCTAGGTACCATCTGTTGGGGCTCAGACAAGGACACGCATTTTACTTTTTACATTATGGGTATGAATTCTAATAACGTCCCGTTTGCCCTTGCCTCTTTTAAGTCCACCGAAGGTAGAGCCTGTGTTCTCCAGCTCAGCGTCTTCCCCACAGCCAGAGAAGATAAACCTTGAAGATCTAACAGGAGAATTGCAAGGTATTCTGGACCATTAACAGTAATGTCATGACTTTTTCTTTTTTTTTTTACCAATGTTCTCCCAGTTTATAATAGACAAAAGAAGCAGATGAGTTCTTGTTAATCTGATGTGATCCTTCAATCATAAGTGTACTGAATTGGATTTGCGATGGATTTGATCACATATGTTAGCATTTAAAGACTGTCTAGAGTTCTGCTGACTGTAGCATATGTGGAAAAGATGTGCCACAGAAACACATTGCTGCTTTTAACACAGAGAACAATTGAACATCACTTTCCATCCCAACAGACAATATATACGTACATTTCTTTAAACTATTTTTTAAAGACATAAATACAGGCCAGGGAGAAATCCTCTAATAATTAGAGTCCATTGGTTTGCCATTTAATTTAAGTATAAATGCAGCTGTTATATTAAGGTCTGTGTCGTTTGTTAGAAAACAAACTAAATCAACAGAGCAACCTTTTGATGGGACACCTGTTTACTATTTGTCATACACTCTAGTAATCCGGACTTCAGAGGAAAATGGTGACATGCAAACCATTGCTGAATAAAAGTCATAAGAAGAGGCTTTGAGCTTTTGCCACAAGCTGCATAGGGTCCCCATTGCAAGGGTCGTCTTTCCAGATTTGTATTCATCTTCAGCTTCTACTTTCCACTAGCAGGACCTTTCAAAAGATGTGTGATTTGTAACAGGTGTCATGTACCACTTTGACAGTTCAGACTTCAGGGTTTGTTTTTTTTTCCAGCTTTTTAATGGGTATGAATCTGGCCCCCAGTATGTCCTTTCAGCAGCCCTGCACAATGGAGAAGATGAAGGACAGCTGATTATGTATTCTGTGCCAGTTCTCTGGCTCTGTTGCATTATGGTGGCAAATAAAAGATCTCTTTGTGCAACATCTCCCTCCAGAGTCCGGCCACATTCCAGAGCTTCTCCCGGACACTGCTGTCCCTCTCTCTGAGGAGGCCCCCAAAAGGCCCACCACCCCCCAACCACAGGACCTCCCAGAAGACCCGACATACTCGCAAACTCAGGCTGGTGAGTCAACATGTCCAGCAATGACCCTTGATCTTGGTTTATCCATGATGATATGCAGTCATTTTATATTGGATGCCATCATTCTGACTGTGACAGTCCATTTCCTCATTTTCTGCATCCTAAATGTACCTTATTCTACTTTCCTCTTAAAGTAAAAGAGACTTTAGATAAATCTATCGAGGAAGAAGAGGAGCAAAGGTGGGAAAGGGAGCGAAAAGAGAAAAGGGAAAAAAGGCAGAAGGAGCTACAGGAGGCCAAGGAGCGAGAGCAGCAAGAACTGGAACGTTTGGAGAAGGAGATGGTAATTGTTAACCCAACACGTTGATTCTTAAGATAAAGTTTATTTGAAATGTGCAGTGAGAACATCTCTTCCTATCCAGCTTTTGGAAGAGGCAGTGCAATCAGAAAATAAAGAGGAAACAAAAGAGGAAATAGACATTGGGAAAGGAAAAGACAATGAGCAAAACAAGGAAGAACCAAAAGAAGAAAATCCACTGGAAAAATATATGAAGATGGTACTAGAAGCAAGAGAGAAGCAGCAGGAGAAAGTCAGTTCCAACCACAGATGTGAAAGCATCACATTTAACACATGTATGTGTATGTGTTACTCTAACCTCACTTTTGTTTTTTGTTTTTAGACCTCTGTAAGAGTGGATGAAGGAGGGATGAGCCCAGAGGATAAGAGTTTATTTGAAGAAAAAGATGAAAGGTAACACAAATAAAGCCAGAGTTTCAAACAGTACACAATTTATTGCATAAAAAAACTTTTCTAATCCACCAGTAATGCAGTCACCTCAGAAGACTTTAATAAAAGCAGTGCCGCATGATGAAATCCCAGCAATGTTAAAATGCTTTTGTGGTTCCTCATCTCCTGATATCTTTGTAATGTCATTGGCTTGAGAATAACTTTAATCCAATAAAAAAAAAAAAAACGTCTTTATTGGGTAATGCTTTTTTTCTGTCCCTTGAGTACTTAATAACTCTTTGTTTTTCCTAGCATTGCAGCATACTCGATGAAGGATGAAGATGATGAGTTCTGGTGAGCCATCTCATGTGCTTAACCAACGTTCTGGATTGTAACTTTTGATCAACCTATGTATTTGACTTTTGTAAAACTTTGTTCAATAAAACAAACAAACACACTTCAAACTTTTTTTTTTTCTTTATTTTCATAAAAACAGTCATCAGGCCCATTGAGCTGTGTTTCCAGTCGGACATGATGCTCATTGATTGGTCGACTGATTGATGTCCTCCTGGTGATTCAGTGACAATTCTTCACTTTTTGGTTCATTCATTTTGAAACAATCAAATGTCATGTACACTAATATTTACTGTACCATGCAAAAAGATCCTTACCTTTTAAACATTTTCACATGTTGAAAACCACAAACCCAAATTTATTTTACTGTCATTTGATGTAGGAAGGATAAGGCTTTGCTATGTAGTGAAAGATTTTACAAAAAAAAAAAATCTATGCATTAGCATTAAGTCGGCTTTATCAAATAACCCTGATAAAATTCAGCATAAACAACTGTTGTTAGAAATCAGTGTTTTGAAAAAAGTCAGTATGTGTGTAACTTTAATCTATGTACTGTACCAAAACATCTAAAGTAAAAACTAGACAAGGAGAACAATATGTACAAAAGCAGATACAAAGTCCACAGTAACTCTGGAGGAGCTGCACAGCTGAGGAAACTCTTTATGTAAAAATAGTGGCTACAGGATAACGTTTTTAAGGAAGCCAGGTAGGGGAATTGGTAGAAGAGGGAATTCTGGTCAAATGAGTTCAAAAACCTGAACTTTGGTCTATTTTTAAAAATTGCTGTATGTCGTGGAAAACAACTATTGCACATCACTCTGAACACAAATGATACAATGCAGTGGTGGCAGCATCATGATGGGGGATTTCTTCGGCAGTGACCAGCTTCCCTAGTTGGGTTTCAAAAATCTTAATCTAGGTTATCCTTGTAAAAAAAAAAATAATAATAAATAAATTGGACCCTGAATGTTCAAATAGCTTGGTTAAAGTCCAACCTTAAATTCTTTCACCCAACAATTGGGGTCTATCACATTCCATGCAAGTAAAATACATTGAGGTTTGTTGTTTTTATGTCAGAAAATGAGGAAAAGTTGAAGTGATTTAAATTTAGAAACTTATCCCACACCGCTTTGCCACTGTACATCTAATAATTATGTAGCAAAGATATACTTTAATGTCACAGGATTCTGTTTTGTACATTGGGCAGCATTGGCTTTAATGCTTTGGCTAGATATATTTATGAATTTTTGTAACAGATTATTTTAAGAAATTAAGGAAGCCCTTGACATTTGTAGAAAAATTAGGTACGATCATGCAAAACAAACTTTAAAAGGACAACTGTCTAAAAAAACTGATTAATTAGCTATATAAAAAGAAGTAACATTAATATAGTTAAAAAAACAGGCATATATTGCCTACTATCAATGTCAGTACACCTAACTGCAACGCGTGTCTCTGCAGAAACAATAGTTTCAATGCAACAAAACAAGTTAATCCTTGTAACTTCACTAAAGGCAAAAAAAAAGAAAAAGCTTACATGAGTAATTATATAAACAGTATAACAATTGCACATTTTAAAAGAAATGCAATTTTGGAAGACCACACCTGTTTCAATTTCAAGAGGAGAATTAAAAATGTGACTCATAGCATATTATTACATTACAAAACCGACACCCTGGCTGCTTTCAAATGCCATCCAAGTGGGGCAGTTTTATTCATCTTATAGGAGCTCAAACAAATGACTGAGAAAATAATTTCATCCGCAACTCTTTCTTTAGATTGACTGAATGCCAATGAACCAACATCTAGATGTGACATATGTATTCACATTACACCATTAATGGATCAAGTATATGCACGCATTTGAATAGTTTATTAGTACTGTGACTCAAAGGATGTAATCCCGGTAATTGAATTGTTTGTTGCTCTTTATGCATCCCATTCTAGAAGCATCTTTTCTAAACAAAATTACATAAGTTTTAGTGCACACCTGAGGTAGTGTTAATTTAGGCAACTGCTGCTCTGTATTAAAAACCTAATAGAAGTGAAATCCAAGACATTTAAATTATTGGCAACTGAGGTGGAGACGCTTCAAAACGTGCATGTAGTATTCACATGAACTCTGTTTAATGCTGTACCTCAGGGGTAGGCAACATCAGTCCTAGAGTGCCACTGTCCTGCAGCTTTTGCATGCATCCCTTCTTCAACACACCTGATACAAATGAACGGTTAATGGCCAGGCCTCTGCTAAAATTAACATGTCAAGGAGGTAATTTGGCCTTTTGTTTCAGGTGTGTTGGAGCAGGGATTCATGCAAAAGTTGCAGGACAGTGGCACTTGAGGACCAACGTAACCTACCTTGCTATGTATAATAGATCCTCTGCAACTTCTGCTTAAGTAGAAATTGAAGATACTAATGGAGCTCGGACATAAGGCCTTCCTTATACGTCATTTTCTTTTTTCTTGGTAAAATCGTGAAAAGAAAAAAAAATGGAGCGCAAAACAGACAGTAAAACAAACTGTTATTTGTTGTGAGAGAATAGTGCAACATCTTAACATTCACCAGCGGAAACTGGCTATAGAAAGGGCTAAAAAACCAAAAGACAGAGTGAATATCTAAACTAAACTTGATTTCCCTACAAGACAGAATGAAAAACTTTAATGTAGCAGTCCTGAAACAGCTCTCGGGGAGTTAGTGCAGAAAGCAGCTGATGCATTAGTTTGTTAGGAGCCGGGTTAGTACTGCACAGAGTTGGCAGGTTATACTAGGATGGGGTTGGTCCAAAAGGAGGCCAGCAGTGACTGGCCATTGTGTTCATAAGCATATCTGAGTATTTTCATTTTATTTTATTTTTTTCTGTAAGGGGATTACATCCTTATGTGTAGGAATTGAGGCATTCCTTGGAGCGTGAGGTGATGTCCTGCAGCTCCCGCTCCTCCTTCATTTTGATGTCTTGGTAGGCATGCATTTGACTGGCATCCTTAAGGTAGGCCCAGTTTGCTGAGAGAATCATAAGGTAGTGGATCTGCAAGAGAAGGGTGAGGTGGATGGCCGGTGAGCATGTCAGAGATGCAAAGCGAGCTACAGGAAACACAGCTACAGTAAATAAACAAACAGTTCAACTTTTAAAAAATAAAACAAACATACAACAAACTATCTACTGGAAATCAAATTTGTTGGTTAAAATTATTGGAGCCGTTTCTATTTTTTAATGCAAAGAGTACTAGAGAAATTGGATGTTTATGATGGAGAAAAATTAGTGACAGAAAATAAAGTTAAAAGGGTGCAGGCAGTAAAAGCTGGGGGTTAGTGCAAAGCATGAGATCTTGGATAATGTAAACTGGACTGAGCTCTATGATTCACCCATTTTGGAATTGCACACATTAAGTAAGATTATCTTGAACCGTTTCAAATGTCATACTAAAACTGCATACTTCATCTTCTGCTATCACATAATTGCCTAGTACAAGTCTAGACCCAGATCCAACATTGACAAGAGTCAGGGAATAATGCCGAGGAGGAGTTTAAAGCAGGCTCAGCTCAGAAATCTTTAGTAGTACACTTTTCCGTCATTAAAAAAAAAATGGTTCAAATTCTACCTAGGCATGGCTGGACATGGCCTTAATGACAAGTGTGCCAAGGAAAGCAACCGGAGGCTCATAGTAATTCTGAATGTTTCCCGGAGATGCACAGCTCAGATGTCAGCAGAACTATGCTAAATTGTCGTAAGGGAGCGGAGTACAAATTCAGGCCAAACTTTGCAGATTTTTTTACGCTTTTACTTCTTTATACATTTCAAAATCTTGTAATGTTTTGCTTTTGTTAAATAAATCTAATTTTTATAAATATAATGTGAAAAAATGCAAGAAGGTTCAAGATGTATCAATGTTTGCAATCCACTGCACACTGTTGTAAGCTCTGGAATAAAAAAGACCAAGTTGGGATATTTTTGTAAACAAAGATTGTTTATTTATGTAGAAAGTAAAAGCTACAGTCTTGTAAAACTTAAAGAAAATTAAATATATGAAGTATAAGTAACTATAAACAGATCAACAAATCTGGGAATTGTAAGCATGCAAGAGTTGTGTTAAAAAATCAACAAAAAGTATCTTTAATGGCACTTTGAGTATGCAAAAAAAACAAAAAGTATCTTTCAAAGCTGAGCATCAGCTGTTGTAGAAGCGAAATATGCTACTCTGAAACAGAAATTATTCTTACATCTCATAAAACGAGGCTTAGGGCCTCATGCAGAAGTATACCACTTGTACTGGCCTATGCTACTTTGAGAGAGGAGTTGTTACTTTAAAATCTACAATGCACAACAGATCGACATAATACTGTGGATAAAAGTTGGTTCAGTTTATGATCTGTTTTTTTTTTTTTGGAAAAATATAATACTGAAGGTTTCTGTGATTGATTGGCACAAAAAGGTCTAATATATATATATAAAAAATAAACAGAGCAAGGGGAAAGGAGAGTAAAGCTATTTTGCCGTCAAAGCAGGTCTTTTTACAGATATATCTCCATAAAATACACCCACAACTGCTAATCTGGCAACCTAAAATATTTGTTTTTTGTGATTAGATCACCTCATGCTTTTTAGGCCAATTGGAGTCCTTTGACAAGGGAGTCAAAGCCTGCATAAATTCTAATTATGTTTGGCATGTAATTCACAAGTTTGTGAATAAATATGCTATTTAGTTAGATGGATTCCAACCGTTTCTAGCAAAGCAGTTTACTGCATGTTAAATTTCTTGGGGTTCTTTCATGCAGATAATAATTTTGTAGATACTACAACCAGCTACATTAATTTTAAATTTAAATAAATCCACAGTTAGTTTTCTGGGTTTGCAAATTTCTTTAAGCTTTTATGGTGCCAAATCTGTTGAAGCAAAAGTGTCATGGAAAACCTGTGGAGCAAGACGTACCCAAATCTGAGATCAACTTTATCAGGACAAGAAAACTTCCTGCATATCAGATGCTAAAAGAAGCAAACATAAATCAGCTATTTACACTTTATGTGATTACTAATGGATAGACGTCAAATTATCTATTCTCAGGTTTTTTTTCTTTTCTTTTTTTTTTTTAGTTCCTTTGAAGTCAGTGGTGTCTGTCTCTAATCAGCGCGGTCACGTGTGGTGCCGAGCTCTTTAACCAGCTTAAAACTTAGTGCAGCAGTCTTCCCGACTCTTAAACTTCAAAACAGCAAAGTTATAAGTGGTAGCCATCATGTAGATCAGCTGGTGGAAGAGAACAGAAAAGGCAGTAAGAGCACATGCTAATGACGTCCTTGCCGCTAACATGCACATCTTGTTGAATTAGAAATATTTAAAAAGGTCATTTAAGTCAGCAATTCAATTCAAAAAGTGAAACTCATGCATTATATTACTTTATTTCAAATAGAGTAACATAAACTTATGTTGATTTAGATGATTTTGGCTTACAGCTACTGAAAAATTTTAATATAATGCAAGACCCAGGAAGAAAGCAACATAGAACTGTAATGCTATCCTTATGTTATGACCAGCTGAATGATTGGGAAAAACTGCTGATTGGACAGCTGTCCAGCAGACCATTTTTTACATCCAAGCATTTAAAGTGAAGGTCTAACGGAAGGAAAATGTGTTCACGATTACGGCAGCCTTTAGAGGATTTTAATAGCAAAGCAATTTAAGGGTTTGGGGGGGCATAAAGCATGATATGTAGCTGGAATCTGATTCTGGAGCCAACGTACACAGAGACATCTAGGACATAGGCTATAACTCTTGCATTCCTTGAGTAAACCAACTCCTAAACCAAATAACCTCCTAGATTCCTAAACCTACTCCTAAACCAACGTCAGAGGAACCTTACATCAGATAAGCCAAAAAGGAAGGAAAATTTCATTTTTTTTTATAAAAGAAGATTTTCCATTTCATTTAAACACTGGGGTCGCAGTCTTCGGTGAAATAGTGTCAAGGCACAGAATCCATGCAACTTGAGGGCCCTAAAACCAGTCATGTTTGGAAAAGAATGTCCTCTGCTGGTGGTCCACTGTGTTTTACGCTGTCTGAACATAGAGCATGTAATCCTTCTTCTAACAAGCTTGTGGAGATGTTCCTGTTATTGTCAAGCAAGGCTTGGCACCTGCTCACACTGTCAAAAATATCAGTACTTCACTTAATGACTATATTATCACTGTGTTTAAAGGCTGGCAAACTCTGTTGGCAAGGAATCTATGAAGTATTGACAAGAAAATGATGACAAAAACACCCGATTCAACAAGACAGAAAACAGTAATGCTGTAATTATCATAACTACCGTAAGTCTTCCTTAATGCCTCAGCAGGAACAAATGCTAAGCACCTCAATTCAACGCTGCACTGATTTAATATAATTCATTCTTTTGGAGACAAGCTATTAAGTATATACTAAAGCATACAAAGAAACTTTTCAATTGGTAATTATGCATTTTTAATAGCTATAAACCATTATCATCAAAACGATCAGAAATAAAAGCATTGAATGCATCACAATATATTCTATACAAGTTTCACTTTTTAAATAAATTAGCCAAAATAAATTTGCTTTTAGAAGATATCCTAATCTAATTGAGGTGTAAATTATTCAAATTGCTGCTTTTAAGTCAGTTTATTAAAAGTCAAATATTAGAGAACATTAAATGTATAGTATTTTTTTTACAACTAAAATGTAAGTCAGTTCCCCTTTATCTTAAAGATCAATACAGAGCCATGTGTATCTAAGCAAATGGTAAACAGCAAATGGGATTGAAGCTGTGAAGAAGCCAATGGTAAACCATCCTAGGTGTGGTTATACAAACCGTAAAGCCATGAAAAGAAGAGCACTCCACACATAAACTTCTGATAACAATCATGCAAAGATAAACTGAAGGATAGAAAACTAGCAGGCAGCTTACCAAAGCAATCACAGTGGCTCCAGCACCAGCACATGCCACGATGTACAGATGGTAAGACAGGTAAAACTGAAAAAGGACATTTTCACATATGAAACATGGAAACCAATACTTGATGACTAAACATGAACATATTATTGCTGCGTCAGCAAAGCTAACAGTGTCGTACCTCGTTGCTGGTGCAGAGGACACCAAGAGTAGATCCGCAAGCTTTTCCTGGTGTGGCGTTCCATGGGATGATTCCTGCATCCAAAGAGATTTTAAGGATTAATTTTTCCCAAATGTCCCTTTTGTCAGTGCCAGCAAAGCATGTGGCTTTTACAGATGTAAAGCTTTGGTCTACTGGGATTATGGAATAAAGCAGAGGGCATGATAAATAATATTTCAAACTGTCAGTGTGATCAACTTATACATACTTTCTTTTTTCTTACGGACAACAATGCTTCACAAAAAAGTTAATAAAGTAACAAAGAAAGAGCTTAAATGGACTGCACATGTACAACCATTATCATATAAGCAAACTAAACAAAAGAAATTAGGCAAGGGATAAATGTCTGATGAGGAGCCCTGCTCTACTTGGCAATGGACAGTTGCTTCCCCGGAGTCCATTCATTTTTGATAATGGACGCCACAAAAGACATCATCCCTCTTACACCATGATACTTATGAGACAAGTATTCATTCCATTATCAATATGTTACTGTTTTACCATGTTTTCACAAGAATCAGCTGAAGGGACTATTTAATATTTGTCGTTGGGAGGCGTTACCAAGGTAACAGGTAACTTTAAGTTCAAAACAATGTCCTTAAAATTGTCATAATATCAAATAACACCGATTTTATGTTATTTTTTTCAAAAATTGCACAGTTATTTTGTTCTCTTATCTATTAGGAGAGGATGTAATCTAATTTACTAATGAAGGAAATCCTAAAGATTTATTTTTAGGATGCATAAACTAGCATTATTTTTTACGGTTTTGATTTTTTTAATTCTTCAAACAAGAGGATTGCTTACTGTTTGGCTGAAGTGGTTACACATAACAAAGACTGCGAAAAAACTCAGAGGTGTGAACTGCTGTCAAGCCAAAAATACGATCCTCAAACCCTTCATTTAATCTGTTGTTTTGTTTTTTAGTTCTACACCACATTCGTGTCGGCTCTAAACTATATTTAAGTTGAAGTTTAATTAGAAGGACAAACAGAGTGCGTCTCTCTTACCATACTGACGAACATCCACACAAAAAGAGTCTATGTTTGTCATGTTGGCCATGGGAGACTTCATGGCATTGCAGGTGGACCACATGTTGTAGAAGAGGAAGACAGGTACAGCTGAGAAGCCAAAAACCCCGAGCCAGGCTATTCCCAGGATGTATGTGAGGAAAACAAACTAAGAAAATAGAGAGATGAATAATAAGAGGTTAAAAAAAACTCCTTCAGAGAAGATCATTATAGATTTTAAACCATCTTTACAATTACTGACATTCTATACAAGCTATTTTCCATAATGTCCTGTAAAACTAAGTGCTAGTGTGGTTGTGTTAACATACCATTCCACTGATGCAGCGTCCACAGATGGTGGTCTTGAACTCGCTGTGCAGTTCCTTGACGGCGCTGGTTGTGTAGAATCCCTCAGCAAGAAGGATGATTCCGTACAAGAAGAAGAATGAAGCAATGCCATAGATGACGTATTGCATCAGCTGTATTCTGTTAACGAGAAAAGTTAGTTAGGCTTTAGTGTACAGGTGACTCATGCTATGGACTCCAAGGTACCAGCATGGTGTAAAACTGTGTAAAAAAATAGCCGTATGATACATCTTTCTTTTTTATTCAATCTATAAAAACATGCTTTTTAAAGGCCATAAACAGGTGGTTGTGATTAAACTAAACTTCTGAGAGATGCAAGACCTAATGTGGGGATAACAGGTGATGCATGTCTCTGGAAACCCTCCAGGCAAAAGACAGACTGTGAACATCTTTAGTTAAACAGTGCACTCAACATAAAACACAAGTCCAGAGCCCTGTCTAATGTCATCCTTTTTTTATTGTCTAGACAAATGGGGGTGCGTTTAAAAGAGATCCATATTAGGACTGTTGACTGAATGTGGGAGACTAAAAATAACCCACATCAAGCTTATTTTAAACAAAATTAAGGTTGTTAAGTTATAAAGTTTTTTGTCTTGATACATAGATTTAAAAAAATATAATCCAATAGCTAAATGATGATGGGAAAAAGATCCTAAAATGAGAATAAGGTCTGTTCGAATCTTTAAAATAAATTATAATTCTCAGAATCAGCTAGAATGCATTACAAAAGTAATCGTACCCATCAACTTTTTATTATATTTAGCGACGGTACCAAAACACAAATATATATTTTTTTATGTCCTTAAACAATTTTAATATTTCAAAATACAATTCAATGCTATATTGTAAATAAACTCACAAAAAAGTGAGTTTACTTGAAAAAAAAAATACTTGTGGCAGGAATCTATTTTTAGCTCAAAGTCAAAAATTCACCACCGTTGCTGCAATTACAGCTGAAGGCTTTTGTAGAGTTATTATAAGGGATTTGCACACCTAAATAATAACTTCTTTATAACACTTCTCAGGCACAGTGTCTGTGAACTTATGTACCTTTTGAAACCATCAAAATGCTATAACATAGAGTTTCTAGTTTTGCATAATGGTCAAATATGTGAAACTTTCTATAGCTTGAGGAAAACGTTATATAAAATCGGGACTTCCTATGACTTTCTAAGAATTACTTCTTAGCACCTGTGTTGTGGATATTTGAAGCTTGTCAAGTGGATTGAACAGACTTCTGTTAAATCCTTAAAGCATTAATTTTTGTGTAATGGTGATATCAGTACTAAAGGGGTTCAACAAAAGGGCAAACAATACTTTTCAGTTTTTCATATTTAAAGGGATAAACAGCACTCATTATTTTTTCTTACTTTACATTTTTGTCTCTTTGAATTGGTCATTCATATAAATTTCCAATGAAATACTTAAACTTTTGGCAATTGTAACATAAGAAAACCTTCACAAAGGCACCTTATGGAACAGCAATATTTGTTTAGAGTAAGGGGTGACCTACACATCAGTGAGCATGGCGTGATCGGTCGTGACCTTGGAGAAGTAGGTTTCCAGGATGTTAACAGTGTTGGTAAGAGCCACATGACCGCATCCACAAAACAGGGCCACACCGGAGAAGCAGAGGATCGTAGCAACCAGTGATGCATACGGCACTCCACCTAAACATTTGATGCAGCATTCAAAGCAACCTATAAAAGAAAAAAAGGGAAAAAAAATTATAAGCAGCTGAAATTTGATATTATTTGCTTTAAGAGGTCATGAGATGAAGTGAGAATAACATCCGCTCCTACAACTCTATAACATATGTTTTAACCCACAGTTTGTCTTCAGAGGAAGCAGAATCCCTCAACCATGTCAACAAATGTCTAATGTAAAGCATCAGCGGAAGCAGCTGGCTGTGTGCCCTTGTGGTTTTACAAGTCACATCTCTTTCATGTTTTTATCAGACAACTCACCCCTACTCTTAAAGGACACTAATGGCTGTCCAGTAGGTCAGAGCAGTGGGAGTCTGCCTTTGCCATGCTGTAAAGGAAATCTATGGCAGCTGAACATGAGGGGGGGTTAAGTGACCCAGATGGGTCTGCCTCATCCAATGGGTTCTTATAACTTCTGAGGTGGAGCTATTTACCACAATGCTCTGTCTGTGGGCATGAGCTAACAAGCAGCTCAGCTCCTCAAATTAAATCCACATGTGTCTGACTGAAAACGGGAGAGTTGAGGGAGAACTATTTCCTGTTGTATCTATCAGACCAATGCCTAACTTCACAACGTTCATTGAATATTTAAAACAGTCATTTAAATGTGTGTTGTTGTTTTTTTTAACATTCATAACAGAATGAATTGTTAAAAAGATAGAGCTCAATGATTGTTACTTATCCAGACAAGAAGGAGGGAATTCTGACAGAATGCTGTAGCGTTTTTTTAGGTTGTCTCATATTCATAATGGTTTCTTTTCCATTTTTAAGCCATTGGCAAAATCAGGCGTAGATTGGTGTTTATTTAGATAAAATGATTTTGTTTTAAATGTGATGGATCGTAGCACATGAAGCACACCATAGCTGGGGGCAAAGTTCACACAGAAGCTCATCCTATATTCCTGAACCAAAAATTGTGAGGGAAAAAATAATTACAATTTCACCAATGAGTCGACAGTGGTTTAGGAAGCAAGAGTTTGTCTTGCAACCTGGAGTCGCAGGTTTAAACTCAGCCGTTGTGTCCTTGAGCAAGACACTTCCCACTAGCATTACCTATCTATATTGGTAAAGGAAGCCTAGCTTCTGTCAGTGAGCCCAAGGGCAGCTGTGGATACAATATGGCTCACCACCATCAGTGTGTGTGAATGAGCGACTGACTATTTGTGATGTACAGATCTTTTGAGTCCCCCATTTGAAAAGGTTTGATACAAGTACAGTTATTTTTACTGTTTAACACCAAAAAAAGATATGAAATATTTTTTTTAAAGATGGGATATTCTGGTCTCCATCTGTAAAAAACGACCGCAAAAAAAACTGCTCAGCACCATTGAGAATATTGATGGGTGAATCATTGATTAAACAGATTATGTCATTTTAACAAGGGATTTTTAGGAGATATGTATCAGAACGTGGGACAAAAAGATCTGGCTACATTAGAAATGCTTGATTTTCGACTCCTGTTTCAAAGAAAGAAAAGTAGTAGCTCTTGCCGTTTTATGAGTTTGCTAGCAAAGACTTCTAATTAAGGTGGTTGAAAAAGCTTATGTATGGGTCAATTAAATTATAACTAATCCCCATCTAAAGCATAGCCTTGGCCTCAGTCAAATTCTAAAAACTTGAACCCGAATGGCCGAATAGGCAGTGCCGAGATACTGAGTGGTATGGACAAGTGAAGGGATTAGTGGAGGAGGTTATGCATTGTGTCTGTGGTACCCTGAACTACAGTGTTTTGTTACAGTAATAATTATAACAATGGCTAGTGGCAATGAAGAATATGAGCATTCAGAAGCAAGAAATTGGAATACAGTCAGCTTGAAGATGAAGTTACTCCGACGTACCAGTCTCAAGTTAAATCAAACGCACCATTATACCCAAATATGGCACTTTAACTTAGAGACGTTCCAAGCTGTATTGTTTTGACAGTGTAGGGAATGTCACAACAGAACCATCTAAACCCACAGAGTTGTAAAATGACACAAGTTTCCAAGAAAATGTCAACATTTGTACAGTAACAAAGATATCCCTATTAAGGACCGATTTATAAAGCTTATCTGAAGGTTAAAAAAAAACACACTGATTTTGGTTTAAGTTACAAAATAAATTAATAGCTACAAAACAAAATCTGTACAAACCACAAGATTTATTGAACCATGTATTTTTATTCTCTCATTTAAGAAGTTACCTCTCTAAATACTAATCACAACTTATATTTTAATATGATGTAAGGAGTTAAAGCAAATAAAACTCCAGATAGGCCAACACCCAGATGCCTCACCAGGGCTGTTTGTGTTGAACTGGGAGATAAAAACATTTCTCTCCAATGGTGCGTGTATAGGAGTTGTCATGGCAGCATCTTAACCACAACTTTATAAGTGTACCCACAGCGGAGACGCAAGCTGGAACTGTCAGCTAACTTTGTCCAACAAATATGTCAGGCAGGGACAATGGGTGGTGAAACATCCAGCTCCATGGGATATTGAGCAAAGCTCTAAAGTAAATAACAGCTTTAAGAAAGAGCTTCTCATGCTACAGATGGTACCATAAGATGAAGTAGTAGATATTAGCTCAAGATCAACTCACTTTGACTGTTCAAAACTGCAAAGAGCCAATTACACACCCATAAAAATGCTTTCTCTGCGGTGTATATCCCCACTGAAGTCCACAAATGTTTCAATGTGGTAAATGTGGTTGGGGGTTTGAAGTTATAGCTAAAGTAAAAGACGGAAGACATGAATAAATCATCTTTGGACAGCATTAATCTTAAAGCAGCCATGAGTTTTTTGATCAACTCAGGAGGAGCTGCTGAGATCTAAAATGGTGAAGAAGTCGCACCCATTACTATTGTACACTAAATATCTAGGCTTTATGGCAACAAGTAGAAAAATAATGTAGCGTACACGGCAAATAATAGGAAGATGTCATGCTCAGTCAACACCATAAGCAAACTTTTTGGCAAGGAGAGAGAACCTGGTCAGAATACAGCGAAATGCTGAAAGAAAACCAATGAGAAACTGAAAAATCCTGGGGCAGAACTTTACCTTCCAAAAGGTCACCAACCTTTACCCTACACTAGAATGACTTCACCCAGACCATTAGCAAGACTAATCAAAAAATAGACCCGAATCCACTTAAAAATGGGTGTCAACAGATGCTTTTCTCCAGACTAAATAGGTTCGAACTACATTGCAAGCACAGTATATGTATATGTATATCCCGATATATTTGCATCTGCTACCTTATAAAATTTTATGATCCACCTTTACTTTTCCTTCCACATTACAATCACACAACTTTGTGCTTATTTGTCACAAATAAAAAAGTTGTATTGTATCTTACATTGTATAAAAATGAAAACAAAATAAACAAGAATTTCTTAGGAGGATTAATGCACGATTGATATTTTCTACTAATCTTAACTGAGAATTTTATGAAAGAAATATATATTTGTTTTCATTTTTCCGATTTCAAATTATGTCCAAACCAAATGGAAACATGACTTTAAAGGCAGAATCTGCTGGTTTGTTCTAGTTGGATCACTAGAAATGAAAATCACATTGGTCTCTCTGATGACTTTCACATGCTTCCAGTCCCTCAGCAACACTCCTAGTCAGACCTCCAGCCCTTTTAAGTGGTTGTGTTTCTGTCTTTGTCACAGAACATATTGAAACAGGAAAAGACAAAATACAAAACCACAGCAACACCATAAAACACCGACAAGTTTGCAACTGTTTGCTCTGACAATGACTGGCCTTAAAGCAGAAGCTTAATTTGCCACATCAAGATCACGAGGAGAGCCGGGAATTTCTTGTGTGAGGAAAAATAATGTGTGAAAGTGTGTGACATTGTGTGAGAAACTGGGGGGAAAAAGAAACAGAAAGAGTCCAAGAAGTCCTTGTACAAAGGGCCAGTGTGTGCAGCCACAGACTGTCCATCACACTGGACTCTCAGGGGCCATTCAGCATAGCACTAAGCCACGATTCTACATTTCCGGCCTGTAGGCTGGAGGCCCAAGATAAAACCCACCACTGAGTTTTATCCTGTGTAGGGTAGTTAGGGGGGGGGGGGTAGGGGGTCAGTGCAGTGATGGGACTGATTTGAGTAGCAGACTGATTTGAGTAGCAGACAACCTTATATATGAAAGACTTTTAAGCCGTTGTCTTATTGTTTTTCGTTCAAGTTATTTGAGGGATTAACAAAAGCCAAACTCTTGCTGGTAGGTTTGTCTGGTACTTTGGATTAGGCATGAACTGGTTTCAGGTATGAATGCAAATCAGAAATTAAGAAAATAATTTGTTTTCCAAAACTGCTAATAATTTATAAGCGATCTTTCCACACCTGCTACTGTTTACCAGTGGTCAGCTGGCAGAATTTTGCTTCCATCTCTTACAAGTAAGATACAATCTCAAAAATCTCATCTTTGAAAGCTCCTGAGATATATCTCAGGACAACAGCGTTGGAGGGTTTCCAGGAAAATAACTCTGACACAAAACCAAAAAACTTAAAGCAGAGATTGCAATAGAAAAGAATATGCTATACCAGTAAACATATACTATATTTAGTGCTATAAGCACACTCGCTTCAAAAACAATTATATGACTTAGCATTTATTCAGTATTTTTGGATAACTCAATATGACATTTTTATCACAGATAGCCCTTTGTAATGGAGTTACAATTTCTTTTTGATTATGTAGGTAAAGCGGCTGGGCAATCTTGACAATTAGTTATTGTGCTATAGGCTTAATCAAAGTGACCACTTTTTATCATTATGTTTTCTTCCATCTCTATTTTCCAATTCTCCAGTATTTCTTAGTTCAACCCTAATTTTATGTTCAGCCTTTCTGTCATAGTGGCTTCATCTGGTCTGGTTCTCTTTGGCTGTGACACCACCCTTGGGGAAAATTTCAACTGGGCAGCTGGTTCTGTTGGAGGTTTCCTTCTCCACTGTCGCTGGATCCATGCTCAGTGTGAGTGATTGCTGTAGTGTGAATGACA